ACAACGCGAACGGGCCGGTGTCGATTTTGAGTCGGCCTGTATAAGCCGAGAAGGCGAAGTAGACCGGATTTCCGCGAGGTAAGTCATTTAATTAATTAAGGGAGGTCAAAGGGAGGTTAAATGGTCAATTAGGCTAGGCAACAGGAGGGATGGGAGAGGTAGCTATGGATGAGGCGAGAATCGAACAAGAGATGAGAGAGGAGGCGGAAAGGACAGGAACGAAAAGGAGGAGAGTGGCGTCGGAAGAAAGTACAGAGTCTGAGGAAAATAAGGGAAAGAGGTTCAGCGTTCAGGGAGTAGAGCAGATTAGGAGACTTGGGGCCCTGATCTCAGGACAAAGGGAAAACAAAAGGCTTACGATCGCGGCAGCGACGGAAATGGAGGAGGCGATGTCGAAATTGGAGTAGGTTATTCTAAAGCTAGGAGAGGAGAACGCCAGGCTGGAGGGAAGCCTGGAGGAGAACAGGAGGAATTTGGTGGAGGTCCTCAAGGCGGGTTTTAGCCCCGTGGGAGGAGATATTGGACTAGAGGCAGATACGGAAACCGAGGTAGAGATGGAGGTAGATAGGGGGGCTCCCCCAGCTAAGATCAAAAGGAAAAGGAGGAGGAAGAAGGATAATAAGGCAGGTGAATTACCGGACAAGATGGTAGTGGTCAACGAGTCGAAGGTGAGCGAAAAGTTACCAGTAGCCAGGACTGAGGAGACTAACCAATTCACCACGGTTGTAGGGAGGAGGGCGGTTAAGGCAGATAGGGAGAGTGAGGATAGGATGAAGGAGGCGTTGAGGAAGAAGGAACTCCCGAAGTCATTCATAGTCCGGGTGGGGGAAAAAGGTTTAGGAGAGGTAAAGAAAAGTCTTTGGTCGGAGATCGTAGGGAAGGTGGGCGCTCCTAAGGTGAGCAAAACTTCGGTTTTACTAAGGGGGGACCTGAAATTGATTCCTGGCGACGCGAGGACTGAGGGGGCTTTGAGAGACCTCATGAAGGAGGGTAAGGTAGAGGTCCTAGAGGGAAAGCCTAGATGGCCGAAGGTGGTCGTTATCGACGTGGAAAGGGAGATGTGTAAAGGTGAGATAGCTAGGGCGGTCGCAACAAAAAACCCGGGTTTAGGGATAGAGGAGGAGGAGAGTGTGGGCTCCATCAAGCCCATTTTTCAAACGGGTCCGAAGGAAGGCAGGCTTACAAACTGGGTTTGCGAGGTCTTGCCAGTGATTTTCAGGAGGCTTGAGGGTAAGAGATTGTACCTAGGGTATGGTTTATGCAAGGTAAGGGAGTGGGTAGATGTTACGCAGTGTAACAAGTGCCAGGGCTTCGGGCATCAGGAGAAGAAGTGTCTAAGGAAGGAGTTAGTATGCGGGCACTGTGCTAAGAAAGGGCACAGAATGAGCGAATGTAAGGACAAGGAGAAGAAGCCGAGGTGTTTTAACTGTGGGTTGGGTTACACGGCCAGGCACAGGGGGTGTAGAGTCAGGGAGGGGGTAGCCAGAGCTACCGTGGTAGGAACTTCATATGGTCCCAATGAATAGGAGGGGGAACTTCGATATTTCCGTCGTTCAGCTGAACATGAACGGCCAACTGGCAGTCCCACTTCAGCTGATCGAATTTTGCAGGGAGGAGAAGGTGGAGGTACTTCTCTTACAGGAGCCGCCATTAGACTCAGGAAGGTTGCACGGCTTCGACTTCGAGGGGGCTAGGGTGGTAATGGCAAACGGGAGGGACAAGGCCAAGGCGGCAATAGTCATCCTCAGTGACGACATCGAAGTCATGGCCATCAGGGAGCTCACAGATAGGTTTTTCGCGGTGGCTTCGATTAGGAAGAAAGGGGGCAAAGAAATAACTTTTATTTCGGCGTACTTTAAGTACAGCATTCCGGTTATGTTCTTTACGGATAGGCTAGGGCACATTCTTGGCAGGATAGGGGAGGACGCGGTTATAGGGGCCGACGTCAACACGCATGCAGAACCTTGGCACAGTAGGAGGGGGAACCACAACGGGTGGGCTAGGGGTACCAAGGTGGTAGAACTCATCGAGGACCAAGATCTCAAAGTCCACAACATGGGGGGAAAACCAGACACGTACGATAGGCAGGGAATAGGCTCCTCAAGCATAGACGTTACTCTCTCCAAGGGGGAAAGGTTAGAGGAAGCCATAAGGGGATGGGACGTGATGGTGGGGGTCACGGATAGCGATCACAGGATCATTAGGTATAGGGTAGGAATGAGCATGGGAAACCCGGGGGAATGGGACGTAAAGGTTAGGTATAACGTTAGGAAGGCAAATTGGGACAAGTTCGGGGAAAAGCTAAATCAGGAGGTATGGGATAAAAGGGAAAACCTAGAGGGGGATCTGGAAATAGCGGCGGGCACACTGGTTGAGGTTATTCAAGCCGCAATGAAGTGCTCGATGCCTAGATCAGGTAGGATAGGTAGGAAGAAACCACCTTGGTGGGATAAGGATCTGGAAGCCTCTAAGAAGAGGCTGTTAGCGTACAGGAGCCACGACTGGAAGGGGGAGGATAGGCAGGAGTATAGGAGGATTAGGAATTCCCACACATACCTGGTTAGAGGGGCGAAAACTAGGTCTTGGAGTTTGCGACGTCGATAAACGACAACGTGTGGGGCCCAGTGTACAAATGGGCCAGGAAGGGGTCCTCGGAGGGAAGGCTGCCAACATCGGTGGTTGACTCATCGGGGAACCTGACCAAAACCACGCAGGAGACCGCTGAGTGTCTTCTAAGGTCGCTTATACCGACAGATCAACTACCCCCCACTCTTAGCGGGGACAGGGTGGAAAGAGTAGGCTCTTTAATAGGAGGGGAGGAGGTAAAGAGGACGATATGGAGAATGGCACCGGAGAAGGCGCCAGGTTTAGACGGGATCACTGGGGCGGTGCTTAGGAAAGCCTGGAACATAATAGGGGGGTTTCTCACGGAAATTCTGGATAGGTGCGTCAGGAAGTCTTACTTCCCGGATTGCTGGAAAACGGCGGACATAGTAATTATTAGGAAGGGAGCAGATAGGGACCCGAGTCTACCAAAATCATACAGACCTGTGAGTCTTCTGCCCACGGTGTCTAAGGTTCTGGAAAGACTCATAGTCGATAGATTAGAAGGGGAAACAGGGGCGACTATGTCCAGGGAGCAACACGGCTTCGCGATAGGTAGATCCACGGTTAGCGCAATTCGCGAATGCCTGGACTGGGTAGATAGCAGAAAGGAGAAGCTCGTGGTAGGCGTCTTTCTTGACATTTCAGGGGCTTTCGACAACCTCGATTGGGTTAAACTAATCGGGGATATTGAAGAGGCGGGGGCATCTGGGGCCACCAGGTCCATTATAGAGAGTTATCTCACGGGTAGGCAGGCTTTTCTTTCGGTAGGGAACTCCAAGGCACGGTGTAGGCTCACTAGGGGGTGCCCTCAGGGGTCACACGTGTTTCCCGGATTTTGGCTTGCGCCTATGTACACCCGGTCCGCATGTTAGCGCTAGGCGCTATTCGCGGGCCGAGGCCGTGCGGGAGCGACGCCGGCAAGCCGGACGATCGGTCCCGGGTCGTCTATGGACCACCAGCACCGGCCTAAGCCGTACCTTTTCAAGGCCGGAGAGACCGGGGTCTCTTTGGGTCCGACCTCCCACTAGGTACAGTGGTTTGGGTTTCCACTATCTTCGCGCCTGTCCCACTGCCACCACGTTGCAGCCGAGTTAGGCTCCTCAACCTTGAGGGGCACTGTTTCCCGTACGGCAAGCCGGACGGGCGTACAGTGGGGCTCCCCTCTCCCGTGGCACCGATGAGGTTTTAAGTTGATATCGGTTGATCAACCCGGTCCCCATATACAGGGCACCTCCCACTATTTTGGCTTCCCGGTCCGGCTAGTGGTGGGCCTTGGTTGCCGTGAAAACGGCAATTTTCCCTACCTATCCTCTTATCCTCTAATCAGCCTCTCCTCGTCCTGCTTGCTTGTGATGGCCGTCCTCGCAAACCTGACCAGGGCGTCGTATCCTTTCCTGCTCCCCAGGAACTCGGCCGGATCGCAGGGCCAGAGCCCATCTCGACCGGCCACAGCTTCCCTTAGCCTCCCTCTGGGCTCTGAGAGCCTTTAACACCTGAACAGGACATGGTCGACGGTTTCCGCCTCGGCCCGGCACCTGCACAGCCCAGACCTCACCAGCCTCAGGGAGTTCAACTTCTCGTTAAAATCCCCGTGACCGGTCAGGAACTGTACCGTGTAGTGGTCTAGCACTAGCGGGATCATCAACCTCCTTCTCACGTCGGGCATTAGACCGAAAGTCCACCTACCCTTCTCGGAAGTCTCCCACCTCTCCTGCCACACGTCCAAGATCCTCTCTCTTTCGGCATCTGTTTGCCCCTCAGACAAGATACCGGACCTGAAGTCCTTCCGAACCGCATTCCACTCAATCTCCAGATCCAAGGGCAGCTGCCCAGCAACCACCTGCAACGCGTCCGTCGAGGTTGTCCTGTATGCCCCAGTCATCGACAGAAGTGCCCTACGCTGTTTACTCCCGAGAGTCTTCACAGCCTTTTTTGTCCTAACCGCCGAGTGCCAGATCTCCGAGGCGTAACATATGCGGGGCAAGAATACCGCGCGATATATCACCCCCGAAGCGGCCTGCCTCATTCCCCAATTCGCGGACGTCGCCGCTCTGAGCCTACTGTACAAAGCGTCCGATTTTCCGGCCACCTTCTGCAGGTGCGCCCAGAAATTCCTCTTGTAGTCCACCTCCACTCCTAGGTACCTCACAGGACTGACAGCCGTGATCGTCTCATCCCCGAATGGGATCGTGAAACCCGGCTTCAGCCCTCCTTTCAGCGACATTGCCTGGGACTTAGCCGCGGAGAAGGTCAGACCTCTCTCCGCCGCCCAGCCTCTCACAGATTCCAAGAAACCGTAGATCCTGTTACGGATAACATCGAGATTGGTCCCTGCTACCAGGACCGCCAAATCGTCCGCATACGCCACAACCTTTATCCTCTCACACCTCTCGATCCACAAAACCTCATTCATCGACATCTTCCACAGGACCGGCCCAAGCTGTGACCCTTGGGGGCAGCCCCGCGTCAGATCCGCCGACGCCGTCGATCTCCCTACCGTCAGAACGGCCTTCCTGTTCGTCAGATAGCTCTCGATAATCGATCGAGTCGACTCCGAGGCCCCTAACTCCGAGATATCCCTGATCAGCGCCCGCCAATCCAGGTTGTCAAACGCTCCTGATATGTCTAAAAAGACACCTATAACCAACCTTTCCCTACGACTGTCCACCCATCGAAATAGGGTATCATTAGTAAGATCTTTAGATGAGTTTGAAAATTTTAGTATATCTTCTCTAATTAGTTTCAGAGTTATCGTTGAACGATGGTAACGGTCTGATGTTCCAAGTAGATCATCCTCAAGATGTGAAAGGAATGGAGTACATCCTGGGTTCTGACCAAATCTATATGGAAAGCCTTGGGCTTTAGGTAAGCGTATAGGCGGCATACTGAAGACTTTTCCAACTGGAAAAATAGTATCCACCCATCGAAAGCACTCCTTCATAGCGCTGATGGTGGATTTTCCTACCGTGAAACCGTGCTGGCCATCCGACATGGCCCCCCTAGTCTCGTCCTCCAGCCTAGTCACTATCAGCCTCTCCAAAACCTTCGACGGTACAGACAGAAGACTGACCGGTCTGTAAGACTTCGGATTGCTGCGGTCCTTCTCCGGACCTTTCAAGATGGTGACCACGTCCGCGGTCTTCCAATTGTCCGGGAACACAGAGGTCCTCAGACACCTATCCAACAGCCTGATGAATAGTGGACCCACTATCACCCAAGCTTTCCTCAACACACCGGCCGTGATCCCGTCAAGTCCGGGGGCCTTGTTCGGCGCCATCCTCCATATGGCCTCCTTAACCTCTTTCTCCGTCAGAACAAAGCCTACTCTACCGACCTTATGACCGTCGAGAGCCGGAGCGGTTCTGTCATGCGGTATAAGGGTGTCCAACATACACTTAGCCGTGTCCCCCGCTGTCTCCGTGAAGGATCCGTCCGGGCGGGCCACCGAGCAGGGAACCCTTTCCCTGGCGGACCCCTTACGTGCCCACTTGTAGACCTGGCCCCATACGTCCTCATTCACCGACGAGGCGAAACCCTTCCACGAGTTCCACTTCGCCTTCCGGACCACCGAGAGATGCAAATTCCTCAGCCTCCTATACTCCTCCCTGTCAGCGACCCTCCAATCCTTAGATCTCCTGAAGACCGAGATCCTCCTCTTTGTCTCGTCTAAGCCGTTATGCCACCACGGTGGCTTTGACCTGGCTTTTCCTCTAGACTTTGGCATCGAAGCCTCCATTGCTGCCTGCAGAGAGGTAACAAGAGCTTTTGACGCCTCCTCTATCCCCTCCTCGAAGTCCTCGCACTTCCTGTTCACTTCTTGGGCCAGAACCCTCCTGAACTTCTCCCAGTCCGCCTTCTTGACGTTAAAACGCCTCCTATCCGTCGCAAGCGGGGAAGCCTCACTACCGCAGGAAACATGGTACTTGATTAGTCTGTGATCGCTGTCTGTTACGTCGGCAACCACATCCCAACCCCGAACCCCATCCACCAACTCACCTCCCCTCGAGAGCGTGACGTCAATGTTTGAGGATCCCATACCTGGTTTTGAGAATGTCTCAAGGCAACCAGCCCGGTTGTGAACCGTCAAGTGCCTGTCCTCGATCATTCCCTCCACCCATTTTCCTCTCGCAGATCCGTTATGGCTTCCCGGCCGACTGAACCACATGGGCGAGTGCCCGTTCACATCGGCCCCTATCAAGACCCTATTGCCTAGCCTTTCCAACACGTGACCTAACTTCGCCGTGAAGACGTGTGTCGGGATGCAGTACTTGAAGTACGCTGACACAAAGGTGACCGACTTGCCTCTACCCTTCCTGAGGTTGGCGATCGCAAAGAACCTATTCATCAGGTGGCGCACGGCGACAACCTCAATGTCCTTGTTGAGAACGATTATGGCCGCCGCCGCATTGCCCCCATCCGAACAGAAGACCGACCTATCCGAATAAGCCTCCATGCCACCCACCCTGGCACCCGCCCAAGGCGGCTCCTGTAGTAGCAGAACATCCACCGAACTTTGCCTGCAGAAATCCAGCAGCTGATCCGAAACGATGTGACATCCGTTCATGTTCAACTGCACCACCGAGATAGATTCGGACGCGCTCATTTAGAAGAAGAGCCGTAGTCCGTCCTAACCAGACAGGACCTCTCGTACTTGGCCCTCACCGGGCAGCTCGAGTGCCCTGCCGTGAAGCCTAGACCGCAATTGGCGCACTTCGGCGCCTTGCCCTTCTCCCCACAATCCTTTTGCCTGTGGCCTTCTCCAGCACAGAAGCTGCACACAACCTTACCTCTCTTGCACTTGGCTTCCGCATGCCCGAAGCCCTGACACGCAAAACACTGCAGCACATACGCAAAATCGACTGCCTTACACAAACTGAGTCCTATGTACCACCGCTTCTTTACCAACAACCTATAAGCTTTCGGGTCGACCTCGCAGACCCACCTGACCAGCGGGTCTTCCCTAGGCCCTCTCATGAAGAGCGGCTTGACTGCCGCTC